ATTAATTAATTAATTAATTAATTAATTAATTAATTAATTAATTTAAAAAATCACAGTCAATTATGTCCACAAAATGTTTTATTATTGTTTATATATTCAATGATATTCAACCAATGTATGGACATGCTAGATAAAATATAGATGTTATAAATACAAGTGATCATTTCACAGCATCTGAAATCCACAATTCAGGTCCAATAGCACCTGATTGAAACCAGGGGAACAGACACAAATGAGATTACAATTCCTTTGGGAACTGATATTTATATTCATGTAAATAAACAAATTAAGATAGCAGGAAGTGGACTCAGATCCACATGTTCCCAGTGTTCCATTACTGTGTGATGAAAATAAAAGAATAATGTACACTGAGTTGACTGGAAAAGAATGCTGAATGGATCCAAGTTACTTGGCAAACAGGATCAGTAAGTGCTGACACAGCTCATTGAATAGAGCGGTCTGCAAGTACTGCACCGATGCACTCAGGATCTTTAGAAATCCTTTTCTAATGTCAGGAGAGAGTGGTTGAAGTTTATTTTTAACAATGTCTTTGATCGTTTTAGTCTTACCTTCACAGTTGGAGCAGCACATTTATGTGCCAGTTGTTTCGTGAACCTTTCTAAACGTGATGCAGCTTTGTTAAAAGACTGTTATATTTAAGGATGGGACAGCGAAGATTACATTAACATCACTTAACTTAACTGACTTAACATCACTGACTTAACATCAAACCTGCAGCTTGTAACTATGTGCACAGCACTGCTGTATCTAATTTCACAAGCAAGTTTACATTTAGTCTTAAAGGTACAGCAAGTACCAAATGAAACCGAAAACAAAACAAAACAAAACAAGCAAAACAAAGCAAAGTAAAGCAAAGCAAAACAACAAAATCACAGAACAGAAAACAGCACTAAAAAACACAGCACACAAAACACAAAGCAAAGCATAACCCCCCAAAAAAGCAAAACAAACAGTTAATAATAAACAGTAAAAAAACAAACAAAAAAAACAAACAATTAATTTCATTAAACTTGTCAGAGAAAACTAAATTCTAAACTTAATTATGGCACATAAAAACAGTAAATAAAACGTATTTTATAACCCTTTTAATTAAATGGGTTCTATCTTTTTTTTTTTTTATTAATTAATTAATTAATTAATTAATTTAAAAAATCACAGTCAATTATGTCCACAAAATGTTTTATTATTGTTTATATTTTTTTATTTCCAATGATATTCAAAGTTTTATATAGTATAAATTGATGCTATAATTGTCACCCAAACAAACTGCAGAACCTAATATTTACCAGTGGGTCTATTATTTCGTGTTCTTTCATTAAAATGGAACGAACACATTTATTACCATGTTAAATGCGGGGGGGGGGGGGGGGGATTAATTACAGTTAACTGACTTACTCAGCTACTTACTTATTACTATGGTAATATGATCAATAATTTGCATTTGTAACTATAAAGGTCAACATGAGAAAGAAAAAGTAGAGAGGACCAAGAGATGTCCAGTCCTCTTTTGTTTGTTGTGATGTGCAGCTGCGTCCTTATCAAAAACTCACAATGAAAAAAAGAATATTCTTTGTTGTTGGGTTAAGTGATAGCTTAAACTCTGGTGTATACACACTGCATCAGCTGCTGGCGTCAGAGATCTGAGGCGTCAGTCGACAGGAGCACAACAGGCCAGAGGGAGAGGAAGAAGAGAGGTAAACACTCGGCCTCTCTGCTGGTTCCCTCTCTTTTCTTTTGCTTTCCTCTCTCCCCTCTGATGTAGTGACCTCTAAATAACCGAGGCTGCTTAGTATCATGTTTTTAAAGTTCTCTAGGGATGGGAAAGGAGGGAGGACGTTCCTCACAGAGAAACATCTGGGTAACTTCGTCACGGACAAGAATGCATCTCTTGCTGTGAAAAGGCTCTGGGATCATGCACATACTCTCATCCCGAGAGTGCCGACCTTTTACTTCCGAGCATCTGCACGCCATCTCTTTCCGGGTCTGGCCTTTAGGCCTAATGGCTGGGATGCTGCCCCATTAGCATGCAGGGCATGTAGATAAATGAAGTGCAAGGGCTTGGACACAGCTGTGACTGCAGACCGGCGGCAGCGGAACCTCAGAGTGTGTCTCGCCCGGAGAGCCATAAATCACCTGGGCCCAGCGCTGGACTCCAATCGGCCATGTTAAAAGCCAATCAGGAAAATTACATGCTAACTCCCTGGGACCCATTTTCACTTTCTTAAGAAACCATTAGTCACTGTTACATACTTCATAATAATAGAGCTACTGGTTGTACCATTTACGTCCACACCACACGGGGCAACCCGCAACAGACGAACCCTCTAGTGAATTGAGCCTTATTGCAGCAGAGGAAATTAGAGTAGGAAGGTATTTTGAGAAAAATAATTTTGAGATTAAATATTAATTGACAGACACTGTGAAGTACTCCCACATACTCCCGAAGAACACAATGTTCTCAAATGTAGATTGGCAAATCCAACCATAGATTTTCCAGATGACTGTGCGGTCTGGCAACATCAGGATGCATAAAAGCCTTGTAATACAAATAAACAATATGGTCAAAAGTCCATAAAGTGAGGTCAGGAACTGACACTGGGTGATACTGGTGGCTCACAGTCACCAATCCAATTCATCCCAAAGGTGTTCAGTGGGGTTCAAGTCTGGACTTTGTGCAGGAATTTGCAGGATGTTTTTTCCGCAAAGTGTCAACTCAAAATAGACCTTGCACAAGAGCACTGTCATGCTGGAACAGGAAAAGGATCTTTCCCAAACTGTTACCACAACGTACACAAATCTAGAATGTCATGAGTAAGACTTCATAAGAATCAAGGGGTCTTGGCAAATCCGTTACCCATACGGGGGTGTTAACTTTTGACCACGTTGTGTAATACTTTGAATAACATTAGTACTACATCCTGTATACTAGAGAAACAGGACGTCAGCAAATGTTTATCACAAACACTGCTTGTCTGACTGAGGACTGTTTCAGCAAACTGGCTCCAAAAATAAACCAATTTTGTCTAGAACAATAATCTGCAGAAAACAACACGGCCTCAAGAACAACTCAGTCATAACTGTATGTGACCAGCTGTAGGAGTGTGTGATTAATCTAGACCTGAGGGGAAGATACAAATTAGAGTTCAGGAGGAAGAGAGAGCATTTCCTCTCATTAGGGAGCATGAGAAGATGATCTGAACGTGATAGGAAGAAAAGAAACAGCAGAAGGCAATTTGGGATCAGAACAACCATCTAGGGCTCGGTCCAGAGCCAGTCCTCCTGTGTGACATACCTGGAAGCAGTGCTGGCCGTGATTTTGAGACTGCTGGGGTTGCGGATGAGCTTGTCCAGGATGCTGACAATCTGCTCAAATTTCGGCCGGTTGTTTCGATCCTTCTGCCAGCAGTCTAGCATCAGCTGGTAAAGCGTGGCAGGGCATTCCATGGGTGGGGGAAGACGATAACCCTCATCCACTGCTTTTATCACCTGAGGAGAAAATATCGTTAAGCTGAAGTTCTGTCATTCTGGCTGAAGGTGCGGTCATATTAGCAAAGTTTTCCGGGCAAAAAAGTAGAATTGTCCATTGCCAAATATTGCAACGATGTATGAAGCACAACTCACACAGAGGTCCCTTCCAAACCAAGCAGTTTTCAATATGAATCTGTTGCAAAATGGGGATCTTTTTCTGTGTTGGGAAATTTTTCACCCTCACTCATTAATTCCTATTGAAATGACTGGATTTCACCTGTGAAAATTGGTAAACAACCATAAATGTGACCGCACCTTCTCATCTCCTTTTGTGTTTCACAGAAGAAATTATAACATAAAAGTTCGGTGCAACATATGGGTGAGTAAATTCTGTCAGAATTTCCATTTTTGGATTTTTGGGTGAACTATTTCTTTAAAGATGAGGAACTATTTTGTTCAATTTCCTGTCCTTTGAGCTCCTCAGGACATATTTCTTCCACGCATGCCAACTGTCACCATCCAGTAGGATGAAACAAAAATAAAGCATTTCCGTTCATGCAACAACACAAAATCAATTGCCAAGTGCTCCAGATCTGTAACTCCCTTTTGCTTTTCATCACTCGATCATCAGCGCTGCCATAAACCAGTTCAAATAAACTCTCAGGGCCTTATTTGCTCAGGGTGAAGTTACTGAACTGCAGCAACGAGGGCACTGCTCAGGGTCAGCGCTAAAGAACTAATAACAATGTCAACACAACAAGATTTCATAACAAACCACTACAAATTTACCACAATTGCACACATGGCTCTTGTTCTTAACTTTCTATAATAAGTATAGCATAATAGTTTCTCTTGGCCTGTGAACTGAAAAGCCCATTTTCGCCATTGGGTGCTCATTGTATGTCTTTGTGAAGCTAGCCTTAGCTAGCTAACATTTTAATTAATTAAGAGCAGCATGAATAGTCTAGCCAGGCAAAACAAGCTTGGTAGCTGGTTGATCATGGATAATCTTGCTAATTTAATTATATTGTTTGCCAAGAAAGGACTATTTACTCACTCACTGTTGTTCCAAACTATTAGGGGCCATTCACACAGAATGTATTTTTCCATTCCACTGTGCTACTTTTCCATTGTTTTTCTGTGTAAACACGTGCTAGACGGACATGTATGACTTATGCAGCATCTCACACATGACATAGTGCTCTGAAAACACGGTGCTTAAATTAAAATAAGTTTTAGATCATAAGATGGAAAACAACTTTTAAAAAACGAGACCGTTTTTTCCCCATTTCACTGCCCTGTCTCGCATTTTTGCTTTGAAAACTGACTTGCGTCTCTCATTTTTAAATGCAAAAAAAAAAAAAGGGTTCTGTGCGAATGGCCTCCACTTATAAAAATTAACCATGGTTTATTTTAGTAGAAGTGTAGTAACCATGTTTTTTTTTTTTTTGGCGTATTGATTACCATTTGTATATACCATGGTTAAGCTATACTTTGTGTAACAAACCCATGGTTAATTTGTAGTTACAATGGTTTAACTATAGTAACCTTGTTTTATTTTTTTTTATTTGTAGTAAACGATGGTTAACTGAAAAATGTGAAATGCTTTTTTTTAAAAGTTGAACTTGTAAGTTTTTAGAATTCTGCAATTTTAGAATGCTGTGTAATAAATGAGATACTGCAAAAGATGCGAGACACAAGTGCAATGGTCAAACACATCCGTCTAGCACATTTACATAGAAAAACAATACAAAAATAGTGCAGTAGAATGGAAAAACAGGATCTGTGTGAATGGCCCCTTAAAGGGTTAGTTCACACAAAAATGAAAATTAGCCCATACAAGGTTCTTTGGTTCAATGAAAAGCCTTTAATATCCACAGAATCTTTCCAATCCACAAAAGTCTATTTACAGTAGAAAAAAGTATTTTAGATTTTTAAAATGTTCTTCACATTAACAACAAAAAAAAGAGGTTCCTTTAAGAAAGTCTTAAGTCTTTGGGGGAATCAAAAATGGTTCTTCTATGTAATAACCCTACACTACATAACCCCCCTTTTGGAGAGTATGTATGTGCATTAATCAGTGTTTATATGTGAATATTAAGCACCTAAATTAAGTTCATCATATAAAGTGATATATCACTTCAGAAGACATGGATTAAACCACTTGATTCATATATTAAGAATAAAGGTTCTTTGGTTCAATGAAAAGCCTTTAATATCCACAGAATCTTTCCAATCCACAAAAGTCTATTTACAGTAGAAAAGAAGTATTTTAGATTTTTAAAATGTTCTTCACATTAACAACAAAAAAGAGGTTCCTTTAAGAAAGTCTTAAGTCTTTGGGGGAATCAAAAATGGTTCTTCTATGTAATAACCCTACACTACATAACCCCCCTTTTGGAGAGTATGTATGTGCATTAATCAGTGTTTATATGTGAATATTAAGCACCTAAATTAAGTTAATCATATAAAGTGATATATCACTTCAGAAGACATGGATTAAACCACTTGATTCATATAGATTACTTTCATGAAGTCTTTACTAACTTTTTGAAGCTTCAAAGTTCTGGTTACATAAACTTTCAATGGAGGGACAGACATTTCTCAGGTTTAATTAAACCACATGGTACAACATGCAGGCAAGTAACAGGTGACAGAGTTTAAATGTTTGGTTGAACTATCCCTCAAAGGCACAAAAAAACAACTGAAAGAGTCTTTTGGCTCTTTTAACTAAAAGGCAGGACTTCCTAAAACCACATATTTTTAATTCATTTTTTCTACAAGTGGTCCGGTTCCTCCACCTATCCCACTTTATATTAGGAGTCTTTAACTACTATTCACTTATGCAAAAAAAATAAAATAAAGAACAATATAAAATTATATATATATATATATATATATATAATATTATATATATAAATAATAAATAAATATAATTAAATAATAGTAAGTACATAGTAGTTAAAGACATGCAATATAAGTGGGTCCAAATATTAAGCAACTTTTTTTCAAAACTATAAAATTAAAATACAGTATATAAAATATATTAATAGAGAATTAAATATATTATATTAATTATATCAATATATAATTATTATCAATTCTAAAGTAAAATAGAATTACTTATGTTTCAAAAGAAAACTGTTATTTTAAATTGTAATAATATTTCACAATATTACTGTCCTTACTGTAAAAAAATACAGTTACCAATGTTTTGCATGGCAGTGTACATGTATACATTCTTCTATCCTCTCAAATCAGCTTCAGTAGACAAATAAATTCAATAGACATATCATTTGAAATAGTTGAGAAGGCAACTGAAACATATTTAAGCTTAGAAAAAATGTCAAGTTTAAGTATTATGGTATATGACATCAGATAAAGCATATTAATCCATTTTATGTCAGTGGGTAATAGTTGTTCTTGCAATTTAATTTGACTTCTGAGCTGATTAAAATACGTGAGTAGTATACAAATCATTTATGTTTTTATACGAGGCATAATAATTGTTATTATTATGTAAAATTCATTTTTATAGCATTTTCTTTCAAATTCCTAATCCTAATTAAGCCCATTTAACTCTGTGCTGTATGACAAAGTCAGCATGGACTTCGCCAGTCTCAGATGCTCGTGTTGGTGTTGACTTACTCTCGTGGTGTAGGCGGCTTCCGGGTCGTCCTCCAGCACTCTGGACAAGCCGAAGTCTGACACTTTACACACCAGGTTGCTGTTGACCAGGATGTTCCGAGCGGCCAAATCTCTGTGCACGTAACCCATATCCGACAGATACTTCATACCAGATGCGATGCCACGTAGCATGCCCACCAGCTGAATCACTGTGAACTGGGCGTCGTGTTTCTGACAGAGACGGGAAGAAGGGAAAAGTCAAATACGCTGTTTTATATCTACATAAGTATAAACATAAGTCATGCAACGGGTTATAAAACACAATGGAACATTGGTGACTCATATCTCAAAACACTGCCTGATATTTCCAAAGTCATCTGTCATGAGCTAACTCAAAACCACTCATGAAATGGCTTTGCTGAGAGCAGCAGATCTTTGACTTAATACATAGGAGCATTTGACAGTTTTTTTCTGGTTCAAACCACGGTGTGCAGCAACTTGTTGAAGAATATAAATAGGACGTACACAAGAACACATCGCCGCCTGCATATCTGAACGGAAGCCCACTGGCAGGCTTGCGGTGTTTACACTGGTGCGTGTGAATAGGCCTTTTATACGAAGAATGATATGCTCAGGACTTGGAGATGATAAACACCAGGGGAGGAAGCGCTTCAGTAGGAGAGGGAGAGACTGGCCGGATGAGTGAGATAGCATTGATTTGTCAGGGAGCTCTGGAGAAATGGCTTTCTATACCAAAGACAGGCAAACTGCAGTCTTAAAGCAATAGTTCTCTCAAAAATGCTTTTACTGATCTTCGTGCATAGTAGCTGCAAATTGGTTTGTCTCTATTTCTTTCGTAAAACATAATCGATGAAATTTTGAGGAATGTGCTGGTTACTCTTTTCCAAGCAGTTAAAATAAATGCAAAACAGTGTTTTTATTTGTTTCACTGATTTACTATTATAATTTTTGTTAATATTTTGAATTAATATTTGACAATATTTTGATTTTGTGAATGTTTTGATGATTTGATTTTTGCAATTTAATAAAATATTTAGTAGTTTCATTAATTTATTCATTCATTCATTCATTTATTTAAAAACTTGGCTATATGAGTTTTTATTAAATTTTATTATTAGTTATTTTAGCACTTAAACACGGAAATGAGAAATTCTGCCTAAGCTATCTGAAATACACTACCAGTCAAAAGTTTTTGAACAGTATATGATTTTTTATGTGTGTGTTTTTTTTTTTTCAAAGAATTCTCTTCTGCTCATCAAGCCTGCATTTATTGGATCCAAAATACAGCAAAAGCAGTAATATTGTGAAATATTTTTACTATTTAAAATAAATGCTTTCTATTAGAATATATTTTAAACCGTAATTTATTTTCTGTGATCAAAGCTGAATTGTCAGTATCATTACTCCAGTCTTCAGTGTCACGTGATCCTCCAGAAATCATTCTAATATGCTGATTTGCTGCTCAAGAATTTTTTTATTTATTATTATTATCAATTTTTAAAACCATTGACTACATTTTCCCAGGATTCTTTGATGAATAGAAGGATCCAAAGATCAGCATTTATCTGAAATAAAAAGCTTTTGTAACATTATACACTATACTATTCAAAAGCTTGGACTCAGTATATATATAATATATATAATAATATAATGGTACAAAATATTTATATTTCAGATAAATGCTGTTCTTCTTAACTTTCTATTCATCAAAGAAATCTGAAAAAATTATACTGTTTTCAACACAATAATAATAATAATAATAATATATAATAAAGGAATAAATAACATTTGGAAATATATTCAAATAGAAAACAGTTATTTTAAATACTACAAATATATAAAAAAATAATACTCTTTGCTGTACTTTGGATCAAATAAATGCAGGGTTGGTGAGTAGAAGAGACTTAAAAAAACATAAAAAATCTTACTGTTAAAAAACTTTTGACTGGTAGTGTAAATTTAATTTTAATTTTAATTTTAAAATAAATGTAATGTTTTATATTATATCAGTTAAATTTAGTTCAAGTAATATTTGTTTGTTGTCTGGTTGTCTGGTTTTAGTTAAAGTTAATAACTCTGATGCAAACTAGGACTTTCAAGTTTTTAAAAAAGATGTTAAAGCACTATAAAATATTATGAACGTAGTCTGTAGGACTCATGCATTATATTTCAAATCTTCTGAAGTCATATGATAACTATAGATGAGAAACATAGATAGATCAGAAAATGTAAATTGTTACTAACTGAGAGAAGAATAACTATCAAATTTGTGGATAAAGACTTTCTTTCTTTCTTTCTTTCTTTCTTTCTTTCTTTCTTTCTTTCTTTCTTTCTTTCTTTCTTTCTTTCTTTCTTTCTTTCTTTCTTTCTTTCTTTCTTTCTTTCTTTCTTTCTTTCTTTCTTTCTTTCTTTCTTTCTTTCTTTCTTTCTTTCTTTCTTTCTTTCTTTCTTTCTTTCTTTCTTTCTTTCTTTCTTTCTTTCTTTCCTTCCTTCCTTTCTATCTTTCTTTCTTTAATGAATCATTTGATCCAGTTTCAGAAATCTGGTCTGAATGATTTATTCACAAATTCACTTCTCTCATAAACTTTCACAAACTCACCACGAAAAAGCTAGGGCAGATGTCAAAGATGTTTTAGTTCAGTCTATTTCTCACACAAAGCTATCTCATTATCTCAAAAGACTTAAAATATACAGCATGGGTCATACGAACAACTTTCATGATACTTGTTTTTTTCTGAACTTGACAGCTCCAGTTCCCATTCAATCCGATTGCATAGAAAAACATCAGTGCATCCTCCAAAACGGTCTGCTTTTGTGTTCCACGGAACAAAGAATATCAAACAGGTCTGGAACGACATGACATGAAAACAATGTCAAAATCGTTATTATTGTTTGAACTGTTCCTCTAGTTGTCCAATGCGAGTCTCCCTCTCATTCCGTGTCTCTGTCCACCCTATTTTCACTTTCTTTCTATGTGAGTGTTTATGCACTGCATACAAACTAAGTTTGGATGAAAATAAACCCTGGACCACCTGGAAGAGAAAGGAGCTCAGAGAGGTTCAAAGGCTTGCTAATAATAGTGACATGAGCAGTGGCGAGGAAACGCGTTGGAGGGAGGATGACAGATCTCTTTGACAGAGTGCAGGCCAGGCTGCAGTGCGCAGGAAATTGCTGCAGAACACTGTAACTTTTCTCTGGTTTCTGGGAGTGGGATCCTGTGCAGACACACGTGCAGGTCCTGCTCACTCCTGGTTTGCTCAGGTTGTTTTAATCATCTGCCTTTGCATACTCATTTCAATAGAGCCGTTAGTGTCCAGTTTTTCGTTGGCCTTGATTCTGGATTTTGTTTGTTTTTCTGACAACAATACAAACTTTGAATGGACATAAAAGTATTTGAAAATCAGGAAAAGATATGCACTTAAATTATTATCAATAATAAGACTTTTAAATGTAATATGTATTTAAAGTTTATTACAAAATATTATTATATATACACTAACAATCAAAACTTTGGGTCAATATAATTTTTGTAGGAAATTAATATTTTATTCTGCAAGGATGCATTAAATTGATCAAAAATGACAGTAAATGAACTTAAAATGTTACAAAGGATTTCTATTTCAAATAAATGTTGTTCTTTTGAACTTTCTATTCATTAAAGAATCCTGAAACAATATCACAGATTCCACAACAATTTTAAGCAGCACAGCTGTTTTCAATACTGATAAAAAATAAAAAGTTTCTTGAGCAGCAAATCAGCATATTAAAATGATTTCTGAAGGATCATGTGACACTGGTGATTGGAGTAATGATGCTGAAAATTCAGCTTTCCTTCGCAGGTATAAATTACATTTTAAAATATACTAAAATAGAAAACAGTTATTTTAATAATATTTCACAATTTGTACTGTTTATACTGTATTATTGATCAAATAATTGCAGCCTTCTCTGATTGGTGGATCTTTCTTCAGGATTATGGGTAATGTAGTTCTCCACTATAAAACTCCACTATTCAAAATTATTATTATTATTATTTTTTGAAAACACATCAACTTGTGGCTTCTATATCAGGCCAGAGCTTACTGTCATTGTGTCTTAAAAGGTTTGCACATTCTGGCTAGAAATGAATTACTCAATTGAGAAAATAAATGTGATTTTTTTTCTCCCATAACCCAAATGTCGCACACTACAATCACTGCATATTTATCATTCATCGTACTGCCCAAATCTAATTCACTGGACATTTAGAAACTCTACATTGGACCCCTTTGTGCAGTGCAGCCTCAAAATAAATTCACTACTGAACAAAAATGAATTTGCTCCAAATTTTCAGATATTTTTACGAGTGCGAGGTCCATCCAATGCATCAAAGTCTGGCGGGTTCATTTTGTTCTCCAAACAGCAGATTGTCTGGCAAGCACTGCTGGTGGTAAACTGTTGAAAAATGACACAAGGCTGATAAATTCATATGTCAGGTGTATTAGAGCCAAGGCAGGACGGCTGCAGCCAAAGGTTAAGCTGACCCATTTAATGAGCTCATTAGCGCATTTATAAGCACTCTTCAGATGGGCCGTCCCACAGCCTGTTGTTTGCTTGTTTGTTTTCGCAGTGCGAGCGACGGGCAAAGAGGAAATCATCTGAAGGACAGAGCATGCCCAGTCTGTTTAACTGGCACGGTCGGGCTGGCAGGCGGCGCGCCAGTCTCCCCAGTGCCGTTTTGGGTCTGAGTGCAAGCGAATCGGCTCTCTCTTCTGAAGACAAGCCTGGTCTGTTCTGCGTGAGAAAATGAGGCCATTGTGGATATAAGCTCAAGTGAAATCCTGACACTACAAAGTGTTTGAAACACAGGTAGTGTCGGTGTCTATTTAAAGAGGCCTCGGCTACGAATATGAATGGGATGAATTTGGGCGACGTTGTGAGCACAAAGGCACTGTTAAAAAAATCTAATCTCTCCGCGGCAAAGAGAGAAATAGGTGAGTCAGCAGAGAGCAATTTGTGTCTATTTGTATAAATGAGAATGAAATGTTCGGAGAGCTTGGGAGAATGTCAGGCATGCTGTGATAAGCAGGTACTGTGAGAGGAAGCAGGAGAAGCTAAGACGCAGATGGGTTTCTTAATGATTTTAAGATGAGCTCTCTGTGCTTTTCCTCTGATCATACATAATGGAGTCTCATTAAATGCGCTCAGTGTGTCACACTCACTCGCAGGAAGCCGTCCAAAGAGCCGTTCTCCATGTACTCGGTCACTATCATCACGGGTTTACCTGAGGAGAGAGAAAATTCAGACGTGTCTCAGTCTAATCCAGAAAAGATGTGCCAAAACTGAGCTGTGCTTTGCTGCAGTGGTGTCATTTCTGCTGGAAGGTTGAATTACCCAATTTGCAAACTAATGAGCTTATGTTGGACAAAAGAAAACATCTTCAAAGACAGACATTTCAAGAGAAAAATATAATACATTCAAAGGCAAGGATAAGTTTGACCCATGAGTTTAGATATATATGCTCAGCATGACGACTTCCAAAGTTATTTCAATGACGATGCTGAATCCGTCAAGAAGAGTTTTATGAGTGAACGGGTCATGAAACCTGTCAAGAACAGTTTTTGAATTATTTTCATGGTAATTAAGCATGTTTAAAAGTCTGGGGTCAGAAAGGTTTTTTTTATGTTTTTGAAAGACATTATATTTAATAAATATACAGTAAGATATTGTGAAATATTATGACAATTTAAAATAACTACTATTTTATTATATTTTACAATGTAATTTATTCTGATTCTTCAGTGTCACAGCGTCCTTCAGAAACGTTTATTTTAAATAGAAATCTTTTTTTAACATTATAAATGTATTATACATATCTAAAACTGGTTTTGCTATACGTTTGATTGCATCATATAATAATTGCTGTTAATAGTGTTCATCGTCTGTTTGATTACGTCTTTAATTGATTTTTCTGTACATTTCTGCCATATGTACATTAACTGACAGTCACCACTGATAAGCTACCACTAAATATTGTAGAAACTTAATTTGCTGTAAAGTTGCTTTGCAATGATTTGTATCGTAAAAAGCGCTATACAAATAAACTTGACTTGACTTAAAACTGTCCCTATTTGATCGATTTCATGACCATTTTGCTGAATAAATAAATAAATGTGTGTGTATATAATAATAATAATAATTATATACTGTATATATATATATATACCCATATAACACCCATAAATGAAAATACTGTCATAATTTTCTCACTCACAATTTTATTTACTTTTTAAAGGTCCCATATTGTCAAAACTGAAATTTCCTGGCTTTTTTCATGATAACTGAGGTCTAGTTAACCTAGCTAGCTAACCACAAAACCAGATCGGCTGACCTGTAACGTTACACTCTCACTCAAAAGGATGGACGATCTGACAGGATTGTTACTATGAGGTGGATCACATCTAACATGCATAGTAAAGACAAACTCACTGTGTCTATCTAGTCATGATGAAGATGTATATACATTTCAATTCCAGCAGGAAACAATTTTACAGCTACATTATTGTTCTAGCCACAATTAATCACAACAATGTATATACAATTACAAATGATTATATACAAATCGTCAGTTTGTTTTTTTATGCACATGCACTCAGACATTATTTCATACACGACGCAGTCGTGAGATGCAAGAAACATAGACATAAGACAAGAAATCTATGGGCGCGTGCCCATAAGAACAAAAGACAATACTTTATTGAACCTTTTCTGATAATTAGTGTGCGCTGTAAACGTGAGCATTTTTGACGATTGTTTCTGTCCAGTCTGCTCGTTTTATCGCTTTAACCACAGCTGTCGTCGTTTTTTTGTCTGGCAGTGGCAGCAGATATGCGATCAGATTTCTAATTTGAGGCTGTATTACGTCGATTCTGGC